CATCCCCTAGAACATTGAAGGCATGTTTGTGGTGTTCATTAAGGCATGAGTAACTTTTAGGATATGTCTATTTTTGCGTTCGACAATCCCATTTTGTTGGGGAGTGTCGACGCATGAGCTTTGATGAATTATTCTATATATTAGGAGAAAGTCTCCCATGATGTTATTGAAGTGTTCTGTGCCATTGTTTGTGTAAGATTTGAATTTGTTTCTGAATCATGGAATGAAAAGTTGATAAACACGGAATGAACATCGAATTTATCTTTTAGTTCATAAACCCAACAAAGTTGAGCATGATTAACAAACCATTTTGCGTTAGTACGGATTGAGACTCGTGAGGGTCCCCATATATCTTTGTGAATTGTGGTGAATGAATTGGAGGGTTTGTATTAGGGATGAACGCGATTTGATTTGGGCGGTTTGTGCTATATTTTCAACTCAAACAATTTTATGCGGTTTGAAATTTTTTCAAACCAAACCAAACCAAACCAAACCATTTTATTTTTCGAACCACACCAAACCAAACCATAATTTGCGGTTTGGTTCGGTTTTAGTTCGCGGTTTACCATTCGATATTATAGTAATGTATTTAACATAAGTTAAATATAAGTTTAAACAAGAACTAATAATATTAAATTACGTTCATATTTTTAAAGTTGGTTGCTAAAAGATGTTAATAGACAAATACATATTTTTTCATTTTTATTTACTTTTTTTTGTTTGATATTCATATTCTCATATAACGGTTGGTAAATGTAGAGTTATATTCTGTTATTATAGTTTGGTTAAAACTCCTTTTTAGTCTTACTAGTGAGATGTTAAATAAGGATTGAACATGATATGTTTAGATGTATAGAGATTGATAGAGTTTCGATTTACTGAAAATTGATGAATTTCATCCTTTAACTACTTTATGAAAGTAGAAAGTAGTAGTAATAGTTAGAAAACTTTAACATTTTCACACAATCAATACACTCCGTCCTTCATTATTTCCAAATCACAAACAAGTTCATTAATCATCTAGGCACGCAAACAATCATTTTTCTATCCAAATCACAACTCACAATTGTATAATAAGTTTAAAAAAAAAAACGAATAAAAGAAAGAACAATGAAAAATGGATTGAATAAGAATCTAAGACTTATTGAAAGAGGAGAGAAAAATGTGATTCAGGTAGAGATTAATTGACTAACAAGCAAAGGCGATTGACGATTTGTTCAGCAGTGGCAGACAATCGTCAAATGTTAGGGAAATGAGAGTTTATATTTGGGCTTTTGAAACTTTAGACGTGATTTGCTGAAGTAGTTTTGTTGAATATGATTTGAATTGTTGAAGATATATGCTTTTTTTTTTTTTTTTTCATTTCATATGATTTTGGAATAATTTTAGTTTAGTTTAGATATCAGGTAAGGACATGTTGTGAACCTGTTAAATCATAGGTCAATAATGATGAAGTTAATTTACTTTCTATGATTATTTCAATAGGTTGGTAGTAATTTGTATTGCTAAACTGGTATTTTTTTTAAGTGAAAACTATAAAATTTTTAATTTAATAAAATTAATATTTTAATTAAAAAATTTTAAAACGGTTCGATTTTGTGCGTTTTTTGAAAATTAAAACCTAAACCAAACCATTTTGAAACGGTTTGGATCGTTTTGAGGGAAAAGAAACCACGGTTCTTCGTGGACCCAAACCAACGGTTTCGGTTTGGTTTGCAGTTTCGCTGTTTTTTTGTGCAGCCCTAGTTTGTATCTAAATTTTAGAAATGATGTATGTTGATGTTTTGCTAGCTTATAGATTTCACATTGAAGATTAATTAGCTTATTATTCAAAAAATTGAAGGGAAAATATGTTTCAAGTATTGAAAGTTGGGATGACCTATTCTAAAATATCATAACATAATTTCACTATTTCTAGGGACAGACGCAGAACTACAACCTTTAATTTGACACAGTTTACTCATATCAACCTCTTTAAAGTAGTAGAGTCCTTCGCTTAGCACTGCCATTCATCTTCACAGATAATAGGTCCTGAAAAATACAGTGAGATGAAAGAATTTAATATAGCAATTGGAAGTTTTTGTTTAACAGGCTTATAAATGGTAAATTGCACGATAAATTTGGAACGTGAATGATAGACTTCAAAGTTATAGAATTAGAAATTCGAATACTTCCTCTCCTTGCGATGGTAAATAGGGAGCCATCTGCAATTTTAACTTTAAGATTAAATCAAATGGAAAAAAAATCATAAAATGATAAAATCAAATTTGAATTTACTTCACGCTAGAGCACAAAAGAACGACATCTCTCTATCAGATTGCTTACCCCTTTAGTATCTCATTGGCTTACCTCGATGACTGGAGTACAGGTTGAATATGAAGAAAATAGGTGATAGGAATTCGTAATGTGATCAGATGCTCTAGAGTCAATAATCCATGGTGTTTTAGACTGGGTTGTGAACTTTAAGGTTTTGAAAAAATTACCTATGTGAGCTAATGAACTGGAAGGATTATTCATGGGGTTTTGTCTCAATGATTGAAGGCTAGAAAGCATTTTGTACAGTTGTTCCATCTGTTGGCGTTAAAGGTACGATTGGACTGCTTGGATTTTTCAGTTTGATAATCAATATACACTTGATATCCTCGATTTCTATTATTTTGCCTTGGTTTTCCAATTTGTTGGCTTTCCTTGAATGTCCCAACATGCATCTTCCTTGTGTCTTGGCTTGCGATAGTGTTCACTCAGCCCTTTTGCTGTTTTGAACTTGACCCAGTTGTTGACCCTTTAAAATATAAATCTAATGCTCTAGGCCCATTTCCGCTATAATTAGGCCCAATATTAGAAGTGACCTAATAGAGATGGTTTCATTTTGAATATTTAGATGCCCATTCTTAAATTGGATGGCCCATTATTGTGAGGCTCTCTGATGCTCGGACTCTTCAAAATGGTCGTAGTATCGTGTCGGACACTTCGTTGTTTTTGTTTTTGTTTTTTTTTTCGCTCTCTATAAATCTAGCGTTGCCACTAAGGGGGTGGAGAAAGGTGGCGATGCTAGGTTTTCCCTTCTTTTCATTCTTTTTCCTTCTTTCTCTCTTTGTACTGGTGGTTTAGGGTTTTATTTGTATAAAATGAAAATTAATTCCATATAGTGCTATTTAGTGTTCCACTAAATCCAAATTACAATCAAGTTCTTCATTTTCTATTTTTTATAACATTTAGTAATTTCAATAATTGAAAATTAAACCCCAAAATTCTATTTAATTTATAGGTTTTCCCTTCTTTTCATTCTTTTTCCTTCTTTCTCTCTTTGTACTGGTGGTTTAGGGTTTTATTTGTATAAAATGAAAATGAATTCCATATAGTGCTATTTAGTGTTCCACTAAATCCAAATTACAATCAAGTTCTTCATTTTCTATTTTTTATAACATTTAGTAATTTCAATAATTGAAAATTAAACCCCAAAATTCTATTTAATTTGTCTTAACCCTTTATTCAATACTCACTTCCTTCTTTGTGACTAATTGATTTCGTTTATTCAAAACGACATTTTGGATTAGTAAAAAAAATTGAATTTTGAAAGACGTATCAACGTACCCATGTTCTAAATTTAAACTTTTTTTAGCCTTGTCTCTGTATCTTACATTTTAGAAAATAAAAAAATCCGATCGTAGTTGAGTCCGAGCATCATAGATGAGGCCCAAATCCTCTTATCACTAGATCGAGGCTTCAATATTGGACCTAGACCCATTCATCATCACTCTCAGACGACTTTCTTCATGCCTTGGCCCTGCGAAAACTTCTCGTGGCGACGATAGTGGTTTCCGACCGAGTATTCTGCTCCTTACGTCGCCCAAATCCCCATGGAGCCCAGCCAAGAACTCTAAAACCCTTTCATTCTCCAACTTCTTTCGGTAATACACAATCTTCTGGGCACTTCCACTTTTCCTCAGAACTCTTGTTGAGTTCTTGGCATAATATTGTCGTCTCAAGGTAATAATTGATCACCTCACGTTCTCCCTGCTTTGTTTGCTATAATCGGGACTTGATTTCAAAAATTTGGGATGAATTTTTTGAATCGGAGTACATCTCCTTGACAACTTCACAACATCTTTTGCTGTGGGTAAGAATAGATAAGTTTTTCCATTTGAGGGCTTCATGGAATTGACAAGCCAAGCAGTCACCATTGAGTTCTCCAATCCCCATCTTTGAAGAGCAGTGTCGTTCGGCATCTTTGTCTTTCCGGTTAGGTACCCAAATTTTCCTTTTTCATTAATTATTAGTTTCATAGATTGTGTCCACACTCTATAGTTCTTTCCATCTATTTTTTCTACCATGAGTTGAAATGAGTTCTTTCCATCTAATTTTTCTACCATGAGTTGAAACGAGTTTTCAATTCCTCCTGAGCTTACGGAAGAGATGACCTCGGTATTCAGAGGTCATTGAACCTATCTTGTAGACGGCAGCTTCTATTATTCTACTGGCCTGATATCATGAAGGTAGACCTTTGTTGGAGCCCCATTTTTGAGGAAAATGAGTTTTGTAACAGTGATTTGTTGGAGAATGTGTTGTTAAAAAGTAGAAAAAATTTGGATTTACGTGTAAAATTATTTTATTGGGAGGATGTGTGGTTGAAAATGAATTTTGGGAAAAATGAGTTTTTATAGAATGAATCTCAAACAAGGGCTAAATTTGTTCTATACTTCATTATGGAGGTACTTTCTAATGTAGTTCTGCTTCATACTAATTGATTTCCTTGGAATATCTCTAAATATGTTGTTGTGTATGTGTGGTTGAAAGTGAATTTGGGGAAAAATGTGTTTCATAGAATGAAGCTCAAATAGGAGCTAAATTTGTTCTATACTCCATTATGGAGGTACTTTCTAACGTAGTTGTGCGTCATACTCATTGATTTCCTTGGAATATCTCTAAATAACTCATTGTGTATTACTTCTTAGACACGGTAGCATTGGATTTGCATTAAATATTTTAAAGAACTACAGCTCAAATTGTTGAAGAGAATAGCCACTGTTAAAGATGATGGAACTGTAGAATTTGAAGTTCGGGGAGATGTTGAACCTCAAACTCTTGGAGTTGGTTCTGAAAATGTATGTAATGAAGTTGATGAAGAACCTCTTGATGCAACGGATCTTCAATACATTCCCCCATTGCAAATTGTAATGCTTATTGTTGGGACACGCGGAGATGTACAACCATTTGTTGCAATTGGGAAAAAACTACAGGTACTTTATTTTCAATATTACTAGCCTTTATCTAGTTACTGCCATAACTGAATCCTCATCCTTGCCTTTAATGCTATAAGAGAAATACAGAATAAATAAAGCAATAGCTAGGACTAACCATTATGAGTTTGATGGATGCACTTAACAAAATTGCAACCAAATAGTTTTTTGGTCTGGGGCTGCACAAAATTCTTTGACATCTAGTGGTGATTGATCAGAATTTCAGATTCGAGATTGCTGGTAAGTGGATTTTTCTGGAAGTGTTCCTGCATTGGTCTTTGGGCCTAAGTATGTCAGCTTTGTGGTTATGAAGATAGCTTTCCTATGTTCAGCAATTACGGAAGCTGAGGCATTTTTCCTTGTTGTTTGACCCTGGAACTTATTTGTTAATGATTTACCTATTCCATGGAATGTGGTTTTGTATTATTGGACGTGATTAACTTAAAGATTTTGAATGACATATCACTGAAACAAGTAAAGGCAAATGAAACTGAAAAAGTTGTATTCTTTGCAGTTGGATGGATGAAGATAAAGAAAGAGCTTATATTAAACTCATCTTTGGATTCTATGTTATGTTGTTGATAAGAATGGTTCCGTACAGGATTACGGTCATCGTGTTAGGTTGGCGACTCATTCAAATTTCAAGGAGTTTGTCTTGACTGCTGGGTTGGAATTCTATCCTCTTGGTGGCGATCCCAAAGTTCTTGCTGAATGTATGTTTCTATTGTCCACATTTTTCTCAGAACTGATTTTGTGATCTCAGGAGAGTCTTGTTATTATTGTTCATCGTATACTGATAGTTGTTTTGTTGAAAACATCATGCTTGCAGTCTATGATTAATGATGGATATGATGTTTGTGGAACTCAACAAACTTTTGGCTTTGACTCAAATTGTGCAGCCTATCTACTGCTCTTATATTATGATGGAAAAGTTTTTGAATGTTTTGCATGCTCACGAACAGTATATATTATTGAAGACAAGATAGGGAAAGATAAGTATATATGACTTGGCGATCATGTTAGCAAAGAGTATCAAGGCACTGAGGACTCTTTGGGCCTAAGCACAAAGCGCAAGCAAGGTGTATCATTGAAACAAAGCACAGATGGTATTCTAAGTCTAAATGAAATTTTCCATACATGCACAATATATTCAGAAATATTCAGAAATTGCAAAACTTCTACTAATGTTAACCATCAGTTAATTTCAACTAATTTGAGAAAACCGTCATTTAAGTGAATTCATGTTAAGACCTTATTTCCAATTCAGTAACTAATCCAATTTCAGCCAGTCATATAATCAGCGTGACTTAACAAACTAAAATAAAATGACTGGTTCAGATGCCAAAGGACAAAAAAAGCCCAAAATTCAATAAATTGCATATATGAGGTGTTTTTAATTTTCAGTGAGACGCACTTGTCTGAGGATCTACATTTCCTTGGAGCGTTGTACTTCAACACTAACGGAATGTCTTGGGAGCACACCTCTCTGCATTTTGTGCTTAGGCTTGCTTTTAACAGTTGTATGAGAATTTATCAATTGTTTCATAAAGTTCTTCATCATAGAACATGCATAACTGCAGAAGACAAACGATGGCAATAGACAGTTTATTATGATTTGGTATTGTTTGCAGTTCTATGATGTGTTATCTTCAACAGTGATATGCAATCTTTCCTTTTCTAGGCAAAATGTTGTCCATTAAGAGAAGCATTATCTTTATCTACATGAACTGATTCCATACTTGAGATCATCTATGCATTATTGCAAAATATTTTGCAAAATGATGCTTCTCATTTGTCTTACCTGTATAAAATGTATCTGGAATTTTGGAGCAATTTAATATGCCAAGCAGTATCCAAAATTCTTGGTGCCCGGCTGTTAACTGTACCTTTTATTGTCCCTTTTTTTCCCTAAATTATCTTGCAGAGTGATGTTCATCCTGGTCCCAACATTTTTTTCTGGATAACGTCATCCATCTTTTCTAGTTTCAACATATTAAAGTTAACTTTTGAAATGTGTCCATTCTATTGTAACATTTCATCCGACAACCATTTCACTATGCGATCGTATAGATGGGATGTGTCAGTTCATTTGGTTTTTTGCGTAGAGAGTGGAGATATTCTTTAAGAATATTGGCTGTTACTACATGTGATTATATTTCAATCTAGTTGCCAAATCTGGACATTTATTTACTGAGTAATTATGATAAAAAATGTATCAATCAGCTCACTAATGACTTAGTTCTTTTTCTTCGGCAGACATGGTTAAAAACAAAGGGTTTTTGCCATCGGGGCCTTCAGAAATACCTGTACAAAGAAGTCAAATGAAGGAAATAATATATTCTCTACTTCCAGCGTGCAAGGAGCCTGATCTTGATTCTGGGATTCCTTTCAAAGCAGATGCAATTATTGCTAATCCCCCGGCATACGGTTAGATTGTCTAATATGCATATATTTTTGCATCTTCTTGGATTCATACTTCTTCATTTAGTTGGTTGTCTTGTAATTTAAGTTGTCAGCACTTGGGATTGAGGTTTCTAAATGCTCCTTGTTAAATATGTGCTTTTCCTTTATGCTCTTGATAGAATGATCCATTCACTGGCTGGCTGCTATAAGCTGTTGAATTTGGAATTTACAGAGATGTTTCTTGGTATATATTCGATTTTGGAGGACCACGTGGTAATCCAAGTGTTTAGGCTTAATAGAATTAAGATGGAACACAGTATCTTTTTAGCTATGTTAGGATACGGATGATGGTGGAGCAACTAGAGGATCAGGATGTCCTAATGAGTGGCTGCTCTGGGTACCTTTTTTTCCAATTATTTATAAGGTATGACTTGAAGAGGACATGGTGGATATGATTACAACAGGTTGGAAGAATAAAGAGATCATATGCATGAGGGGGATCTATGCAGATAAGAAGGAAAATTGTGTATTGGCTCTAGATCAACAATGATTTATGGTACTGATGAATGAGCATTGGACCACTAATAAACAAATTTTTACATGATCGATGTAATAAATATGACATTTTTAAGATGTATATGCATCCTCATTAAATTAAATAAAAAAAAAAATGATATATGACCAGAATCTGAGGCAATACCAATTAAGGATACACTAAGCAAGGATTAGATGGTTGAGGGTTCTCTTGTTTGCAATCCCAGTAGAACATGTTAGCATAGAGAGCTGTGATAAAATTTACATGGCCTAAGGTGGCTGCAAAAGATTTGGTTTAGTCATACTAGCTAGAAGAGATAGCTTTGGAACGAATAGAGTAGTTAGAAAGTTTTATGTAGACGACTTCAAAATTATTGGAAATACGGTTCAACTTGTTGGTATTGTTCTCCCTAGAATAATATTAACCCCTTGTTTGATTCCCATTATTCTAAAAATTTATTTTTCTAAAACTCATTTTCAACTATATATTCTTCAATAAAATTATATTACATGCAAATTCAGAATTTTTCTTTAATTTTTAACCACACATTCTCCATCAATCTACTATTTAAAATGCATTATTTCCCCCAAAATGGAGATCAAACAAGGGCTAAATATTGCTACTACCTGTCATTGAGCCGTCAAACGCTGTGCTATCTAGCTGTTACCGATGGAAAGTTAACATTAAGTGGGAAAAAGAGAATATGAAAGTATATTCTCTTCATATACTTATTCTTTAATTGGCAGTTGATGTGGATGATATGTCATAACATATTTTCCATCATATAACGTCTCAGAACATCAATAAAAAGTCTACATTCGCTTTAAGCTTTTCATCTCCCCTTCCCCTGGATTTTCATTTTTTGTACGTTTGTTCCTTCATAGAAGATCCTTACTGGGCACGATGCTTGAAGTTTTTGAATGTTGATTTTGTAGAGAATGTTTGCCAGAATGCATATGTTAAACATAAATCACGAACTGTGGGCACAATCAAACTCTCTAGTGTTGATAGATTCAAAGTAGACCTGAGTTGGACAAAGGGTCCATAAATGGCACATTCTTCATTGGATGAATTTTTAATGGATAATTTCATGTGGATGGCTGTGTCACAACATGGTTTTGGTTCCTACTGTACCACAACATTTAAATTGAAGCCATTATGCTGCAATGTCCTATTTGTAGCAGCAATGAATAGATTCTAATCACTGATATGTTCAACTTAGCTATTGAGAGAAAAAAAACTTTTAGTCGTCTCGACAGTGAACAATGATATTTTCCTCATTCTAACAAATGTGGAAAGTTATTCTTATCTGCTTGTCTGTTTGCTGCTTAGATCTGGTGGAGATTCCTTGCTAGATTTGCAACGAAATCATTTAAACTTGAATGCATGGTACGGTGTAAATTTTTCATCTAAGGTTTCTGGAAGAGCCAACCACAAGCGAAACAGGAACCGAGAATGTAGTCTTAGGAATGAAGATGTGCACGTCCAGTAACCTCGAGTAATGCGCATTTAACTACAAATCCAGTTCTTAGCCCCTTCTAATGTATGGTTTCATGCTAGTTAAATTTAATTCTTGAAGTTTCTCATAGGACAGAGGCCTTGGGTTCAAATTTTGGAGAAGTAATAAAAATTCATGAGTAAAATCGGTCTAAGCTCTCTCAAAGCAGACATTAACGACCCAAGCCTCTGTGTCCAAAATATTAATATGCGTACTAACCATTTTAGGAGAGCTCGAACTTATCTTACCCCTTACGGATTTCTATCGCGTCCCTTGAGATCCGAATTCTAAACCTCTGTCTTATGAGAGACTGAAATTGAATTCTAGTACAAATTGAACTTGAGCATAGAAACTTGGGTGTTTACAATATAGATATTTGACCTCAAGCAATTTAGCATAAAGATATTATGGCATGGAACCTGTGAGGCTCAGTGGTTTTCTATCATTGTTGTGCATCAAAGCTACCTTACACGATTTAAATGCACTTGCCCACTGAATTCAATCAGACTTGTAAAGCGTCAATTAAAATTAACCATTTAGACTGACTTAGTGGATAAATCAGGATTACAGAAACAAAAACAGCACTTACCAAGGCTTCCTGAAAGAAGTGAACTTCGAAAAGAGCATCTTAGTCTCTTTGAGTCCATGGTTGAATGGGTACAGCGGCCAACTGGGAAGATTTGTCTTTCCTCTGATGAGTATTCGAGTCTACTAGCTAAGCTGATCTCTTTCACTCTCTTTTCACTTTATCCATTAGCATTAAGTGTAGGTTTGAAAGGAAAAAATGGTTTACAGCCTGAGTGTTCTCTAAGCTTGTGTGGCACATTTATAATTTACAATGAATGCCTGTCAAGTTGCTGAATTACCTTTCTGTACTTATATTTAAAGACTCAGTTCAAGTAAGTTTATGCAGTAATCCATTTGTGATGTTTTGTTAATGATCTTGTGCTATGTCCCTTAATTGTACATACTTCTTGACAAAAGAATAGTCCTAGCTTCTCACCTGGATTATTACTATTCCAGGGCATACACATGTTGCAGAGGCATTGAATATACCAATTCATATATTTTTCACAATGCCATGGACGTAAGTCTTGTCCATATCTTTTGATCCTCAATAGATATATATCTACTTTGTAATTACTTTAGCTAAGATACTAAATTTAGTACACATTTTTTACTAATTTCCAATTCATGTTAACCGACTTCAAGTATTAACCTTGGACCAAATTGATTCCATGATTTAAGTTCTTTATGCCAGGCCAACCAGTGAATTTCCTCATCCTTTGTCCCGTGTTAAGCAACCAGCTGGATATAGGGTGAGTTGGGTTAAGCCTTGTGCATTTTCTTGTAATTGTTATGTTTGGTATTTTCATTGTTAGGACATCCCTTATTTCCCCTCTGAGCGGAAGATATCATGTACTCCTCTCTCTCTCTCTCAAAGTTCAATAAAATAAATGTTTGCCATATGTAACTTTCTTTCCTGCATGTTATTTGCAGCTATCCTATCAGATTGTGGATTCCTTGATTTGGCTTGGAATACGGGACATGATAAACGATGTCAGAAAAAAGAAGTTGAAGTTACGGCCAGTCACATATTTGAGTGGTTCACAAGCGTCTGAGTTGGATATTCCTCATGGATATATATGGAGCCCTCATCTTGTTCCTAAACCAAAAGGTTACCATGCTATTAATTACATTTATTCATGTTGTTACAATTCATCTTATATCTGAAGAATTGAGTACTCATGCCATGGAAAATTACCTCTCAGTTTTAAAGCTTGTGAGTTCTGATTCATCTGCTATAACTATAATTAGATGGACTAACTATGTTTACTGGGTTACCATTTTGAGCTCTATAATAACACTTGTTTTGCAGACTGGGGACCTAAGGTTGATGTGGTTGGATTCTGTTTCCTTGATCTTGCAACAAATTATGAACCGCCTGAGTCACTTGTAAACTGGCTTCAAGCGGGTCCAAAGCCTATCTATGTTGGTTTTGGTAGTCTTGTGAGTTTCTAGAGCTCCCTAATATCATTCTCACCAATAATCCACGAGCCCTAAGCAAAGGAAAATTCACAAAACAATCTTTTTCTGGTTTGTTTGTCAATTTTATGTTGCTTTTCTTGAGCTGTATATAAAAGAATTGATGTGAATAGAAAATTCATCTCCTTGTGGCTGGTAGAGTGCACTTCTTGTAGATTCAGTTTTAGAATTGACTTGATGTTTGTCTTATGTTCCAGAAGCTTGACCTCTGTTTAATTGTGGTATAAAGTATATTGACATTGTTATCATATGCAATATGTATGTGTTCTAAAAGTTTGAGAATCTAATTAACTGTTGCAGAATTGAACACTATGATTAAAAGCAATGCTGATTGTTATTATTTTTCATATGTACGCGACACTGTCATTATGTTGTGTATCTATGCAATGGAATAAAAAAATACGTCGAATCTTTGTTTTGATTCTTTCGTTTATATTTATGGAAATTTATGCAATCTTTATCAGAATCTTGTTTCGTTGCTTTTACTTTTACAGCTTGTCTAACATGTCCATGAAGTAGAATTCTTTTGTTGGTTTTTCCTGATACATGTTTCTTTTCTTTAGAATTCTTCATCTTCCACAACTTATATGTTTTTAACATTTTAATGTCTTTCATGCTTTTTGGCTTTTGTAACTTGATCTTTCTTGGAAAGTAGTTTTCATCTTCAACTTATTTTTTCCATCTCAGCCTGTTCAAGAGCCAGAGAAAATGACACAAATAATTGTTGAAGCTTTAGAAATAACTGAACAAAGGGGAATCATTAACAAAGGCTGGGGAGGCCTTGGTACCTGTAAGTTAATTGTTTCCTTTGGGACTTATTCTATTCACTACACGTGTTGCAACAGGTCCTTTTTTGTTGGTAAGCACATACTTTAGGATTCTGTATTTATTAAGCTATTGCTTCTTTCCAGTGGCAGAACCAAAGGACTCTATATATCTGCTGGATAACTGCCCTCATGACTGGCTTTTTTTACAATGCGCTGCTGTGGTGAGTCTTCTTATTTTTTTTCATTGCTTCTGTTCGTTATAAATAGGAACATAATTTGGTTGTAAATTTTTTTATTGGGTATGTTGGTCATATGCAAATTAAGGCCTTCGGTGTATCTCAGGATTTGGCTCGCTCTCCTTTTTTAGCATTTCATTCCAATGGTAGCTAAAATTTTATCTTAGATACTAGATTTACTTGCCCCCACCGTTCAGCATCCAGAGATTCCGTTACTTTTTTACAATGCAACATCTGCTCTGTTCATGATATGCTGACTAGGTTAATGATGCTTATTATGCCAATATGACATTCACCTATTAGAGATTTGCCTAATGGATAATTGCAGTGGCGGTCCTAAACCTTTCAAAACTGTGTAGGTTAATACCCAAACCTTTGATTTGTAGCAGTGCTGGTTCCAAACCCTTCAAACTGGTGCGGTGAAAGGACTTCTGAGCTGTTTCCATCCAAAAATCAGTTGACCAAAAGTCAATTTTGACCATAATTTGACCAACTTTAGAAGTGGTAAAATGGTCTTTTAACCTTTTATTTATTTAAAAGCGTAATTCGCATTGGAAGTTCCAAATCTTCAAAAATGTGCAGTGGAAGTCCCGAACCTTTCACAAGTGTGCGCTGGAATGAATAGTTACATGCGTCATTGAACATGAGGAGTGCATAAATCTTTGACACTACTTTTTTAACCAATAAATTTTCTCAATGAATAGTTACATGCATCATCGAACACGAGGGATACATAAAGAAATCACTTTCATTAATTATATCAGATAACATTTGTACGGTATAGAAATGCTTATAGTGCACTATTCCTAACACTTGTTATGTCGACGTTTTATATTTATCGAGTGAAATCATTTTGAAAGCATTTAACAAATTGGTAATACCATCTCGTTTTTATTGAGATATATAAGATTTCCACCGCTTTTAAATTGTTTTCAGGTACACCATGGGGGTGCTGGAACAACGGCTGCTGGTCTTAAAGCTGCGGTAATGATTAATACAACTAAATTATCTCACATCTTCCATCTTTTGTGATTTTTTTCTTGAATACTACTTGATCTTCATCTCTATTCTGATACAGTGTCCAACAACTATCGTGCCCTTCTTTGGTGACCAACCTTTTTGGGGAGACAGAGTCCATGCTAGAGGTGTTGGTCCTCCACCTATACCAGTTGATGAATTTTCTCTTCCAAAGTTGGTTGATGCAATTAAATTTATGCTCGATCCCAAGGTACTTCTCTATTTTCCTTTTGCCATCTTATGGTATAGTTGATAAAGCATGGAAGACATACTTGCACGCACATGTGCCCTATGTAGAGAAAAAGTGAGGGTCAAGTTAGAATCTATAAATCCCTTTCATACTTGACTAAACTCTTCTATATCTTGGGATGATTATCACAATTGGGAAATAATGGGAGAATAAATGTGTGAAAATGAGAGAGTGAATCTAGACAGGTGCGACGTTAAGTGCATTTGAGAGACTGCGCAAGAGTACTTAACATTTGATAACAAAGTAGAGAGGTAATATGCAGGTGAAGGAGCGTGCAGTTGAACTTGCAAAAGCCATGGAGAATGAAGATGGGGTAGCAGGAGCAGCGAAAGCATTCCTTAAGCATCTTCCTTGCAAAAAACTTGAACCTGAGCCAGAACCTGCATCATCAAGTCTCTTCTCTATCATAAGATGCTTTAGTTGTTCCTAGATTTTGAGTGGACACTGTTGTGATCCAATCACTTTTTGTGTATTCTTTATTAGTGATTGAATTATGATAACGTCATTATATGAGCAATATTTTCTTGATTTAGTACTTTCTCCTTTGTTTTAGCGCCCTTGTCCTTTCCCTTTTCCTTCTAGAGCTCATCTTCACATTGCCTCATTTGAAGTACCACCAATCGCTAGTGATCATGTTCATTGAAAATTTACAATATGATTTTAGAGATTGCACTGTTCTGTAACGCAATATCTATTATTAGTTCATGGTGCTAGGCTATGTAAATTTTGGTTTTAATCTTCCCCACCAAAGGAATTGTCAAGAATAGCTTCAGGAATTGTTTTGTACCATATTTCCATACAATTGTGCTGTCAAATCCTTTTGTAGCTTCAGCTCATGCACATAATGGTTTATGTTCTTTTCTTGATTCTACTAAAATATTTTCTGTAGTTGACCAGCATGAATACTTTTGTATATAGTAGATAAACCATAGAAGATAAGTTTGTAAAGTTTGAAAAAGCAGCCTCTTTCAGATCAGTTATAGCTAGAGCCTTTGTCTTGAGCATATTTGTAGATGGCAGAGCAAGTTGCTCCATTGCTAACTCAACATGGCTCATCTGTACAGTAGATGGTGGTTGGGTTTTCGAACAGAATTGAGCTGTTTCCCACAATTCCAGCCAATTCTTGTGACTCACCGTCACATGATGTCTAAGAAATTCTTCAACAACACATTCACATTCTGTGTGTAAACATATGTTTTGGAATTAGTCTACTTGTACAGTGCACAAGTAGTGTGCATGTAATAACGTTAATATATTTCAACTCCTCGAAAGTATGTCACCACATTGCTCAAAAGATTCAGCAGCCAAGATCGCCGTGCAATCACTTGAAGTCATATTTCTGAAAACCAATTGTTGATTCGAATCAACAAAGTCTCTCACCTGACTATGATTTTCTTCTCCTGAACTCATTAGTTTCGATCCTCAAACTTGGGAGTAAGAGGGAAAATAAATATTTGAATTGTATGCTTTACTCTTAAAATATGGGGATATTTATGGATTATTCTCCAAGTTTTGGGGGCAGTTTAGTCATTTAGGAAACGTGACAGATGACGGATCCATATTAGTTGTCTTATAATCGATTCTGTTATGAATATCACGTTTTATTCGTTAGCCTACCTGGATAGGAAATGTTCACTAAGCTGGTGCAAATCTTTTCAACTCCATCTCACATGACTTTTGCTTCGTGAGTAATAGACGAGGTTCGTGGAGTATATTTCAACACCTATCAGCCACCACCAAAATAGAAGTCATACCCCACTTTTGGAGACCTGGTGCTGAAGTCTATGGAAATCGACTCATGGTCTATTTGCTAATGTTGGTGAAGCAAATCTTGTCTCTTGCTTTCTGTTCTATATTGCTGACACAACATACAAGCCTTAAACGTAGGGCTGTAAATGAATCGGATATGGAGTGGATCTGTCCCGATCTGATCCGTTAAGAAATATTATTCTATTCGATCCGATCCGATAATCTAACGGATATTTGATTGTTAAATCCATATTCGATTTGCTATGTTATTGGATATCCGATTCGAATTTTAAAACAAATATTTTTTCCACCATTTTTCCGAGTAATATGATTTTTTCCCAAAAAATATTTTAACTATCTTGATGGGCTCACATATTATACTAAAAGGTCCAAATCAATTTTTTATCCAGATGATACTCTTTTAGTTCATTTTTTAAATGAGACCTTTTTTTGGAATGTTTTAGTAATATTCCAATGTGGGATACTAACTTTTTAAAGGATACTCATTTTCCAACATTTTAGTAATATTTCAATGTGGGATACTAGTTAATTTTCAATTCTAATTGTTACTAGTTTATTTTATTATTTTCATCAAAAATCATAACCTCAACAAGATTATAATCACAAATAATATCAATTTAAATAATGTAAATTATTTTTGGACATATTAATTATTAGTTTTTGATGTTATAAAACAAACTAATATAGTTATTTTTATTTTATTTTAATTAATAAAAAAATGAAATCTCTTCGAATATTTCAATTAAAAATATTATACTATTATCTAGTATTATTTATTATTTGAAAATTATGTGTAAAGCATCATATAATTTTCAAAATGGAAAAAAATTATGTTTACTAGATTATGATATAATAAATAAAATATATTATATTATTATAATAAATCGGATCGGATTGACCTATATTTATATTTGCTCCATTTAGTTAACAGATTATCATATTCGGATCTTAATCGGATTATCGGACTGAAACCCTAAATCTATCTCCCACTAATTTCATCAGATTTGGATTGTATTCGGATTAAAATATAGTTCATTGACAACCCTACTTAAACGTACATTTCTACACAATTTTTCATTTTGGGCCAACGATAAGATTTCCCCAACAAAGCTAGCATTCTTTATGATGCCATGATGCCGTTGCTTTATGAACAACACTGTTTCTTCTCAACAACAGAGTGCCCATAAAAAAGGATTTTAGTGAATTTTTTCTTGGATTCCTTCCAAGATCCAAAATATTTCACACAATAGAAATACGAGAGCAAAGAGCTCAATTCTCCATTTTGCAGTACGTCATGCTTCAAAGTTTCCTTCATACATAAGCTCGAATACTAACTAATAAACAAAGTACATGAGTAGTCCAAGATGGATTACTTAATAACACAAAAAAAAAAATAAATAAATAAAAATAAATAAAAAAATAAAAAAATTAAATTAATATACAAATACATGTAACCATCTATACTTGATTCTTGTGCATTCTCTCACCAAAGAATCAAGAGGCATATTATTACTTAATTTGAAAGAAAATTGGTAAATTAAATATGACTGATCTCTCCACATGGAAAAAGAGTGGAAAAAGTGCTTATTTCTCCATGTTATCCTTGAGTTTCTCTGATCCTTCTCTCACAGTCTCCTTCATGCTTTCTGTGGATTCCTCGGCCTTTCCCACCACCGTGTCTTTGATTTTCTGGGTGGTGTCCTTAACCGAACCCCATGCGTCCTGCGCAGTTTGCTTCACTTTTCCGGCTGCATCTTGTGCAGTGTCCGTCACTTTCCCCGCCAAGTTCTTCGTCTTTAGGGCCACCTAATGTACCACAATAGACCAACACATTCAATATAATAGTGAGTATTAAGTTAAATCTTTATAGGATAAGTAGTACAAATTGATGCTATATGTACATTCTCAGTGGCAGTGGCAGCCTCGGATTTGGCGTCTTGGCTGCCTGTCTTTGCTGCATTAAGAGCCTTTTTAACTGCATTGCGGCCTTGATTTGCTGCCTCGCCAGCCTCTGAGGTAGCCATGGCCCCAAAACGCCTACTTTTCTGTCAATTTGTCATAGAATAAAAAAGATCAAAAAATTCATTAACAAAGGAATAAATGTCGAGTTCAATATTGGCAAAACTTTATGTACATAGATTTCAACAAATAATAGAAACAAATATACAAATTGATCTTGATGATCAGAGGCGTACAGTATGATTAGACACGATACAGTCCAACAACGTTTGAGATGTAATTTACCGGGAAAGGTCTGTGTGCTACACCAACAAAAACCACCCTAGAGCTCCCCATGACGAATGCTTTGGTGGATTGGAGCTTGGAAAATGTGGTGGATAGAGCCATGCTTGCCATTTCTCTTGCTTTAATTAATTGATTTTATGTAATAATTTCTTGGGAAGACTTGTAACTTTGATTGCACTTTCTCTGTCTCTCACTCCACTATGGCTATATATAAGGTAACAAAATACTATATTGTATGTGTTTTAATGTGTGGTATGTAGGGTGCCAAAACAAGGCGATTTCTTCTCCTACGATTGGTAGAGAAACATATTTCTCCAAGTAAGGCTGTACATTTGTGGTACAATTGATCCTTGTCTTTTTTCGGGTTTTGAGTTTACCGATAATGTTTTTTTGACTTTACCAGTTACGATATTACAATCGAGCATCAATTGTAGAGTGTCGTCTCATAGGTTCCACGATCACCCTAATGTAGGGGCTTGCCTAGGTTTTAGCCTAGGTAAGTGTCAGCCCACTAATTTTTTTTTTTAGTCAAATTTTGAATCTACCCTTGTTGTCACCTAGATTAAGATTGTGCACCACTGAGTCGACCTTACATGGTAATTAGTATTATTATTCTTGTATATACATAATAGTATCTCGTTCATTGTCCGAACTTTATTTTAGGACAAGAATTAAAATTTACACCAGAGATTGGGGGACAAAAAATGATCGGTCGAACATCGATTATTATGTTTAGTTATAACAAAATTCAGCTTTTGACGATTTTCAGTTTAAGTAATTTGTCATAACTCGAAAATTATAAGCAAACAGGATTGATATAAATCAAGGAGCAAAGCAGGCACAAGCTAGAGGGGCTCCTTTTCCAGGTTCAAGACATTTTCCTCCACTCTTAAATCCAATTTTCATGCAATATCCATTGCAGTCTGGGAATTTAGAGCATGACCCTTGAATCACAAACCAACTGTCTGCTTCGCAACTCACTGAAATTCACTCAATCATTCAAACTTCATTTTTGACGACCATATATTTACTCGATATCGAGGAATTATCGAAAATAATGTACAATAAATTGAGAAATGAAATTACCAGATGTAAAGAGCAAAGCCATGCAAATTAGTCCAATGAAGACAGATGTTCGAACGGGCGAAATTTTCTTGGTTTCCATTGTATAGAGACTAGAATTGATGAGACTTCTTATGTAAGAAAAATTGGAATGAACAAATGAAAAGTCCTACACCCATATATTTATAATAAATTTCTTTGCCTAAACATAATGATGTCCGTTTTAGGGTAATAATTTTTGAATTGAAGAGAATACTGTATAATGCTGGCCAAAATTAAGTATTCTCTTTATATATGGTAAAGTAATCTTCCTTGATGCATCCTTTTCTAAATAGTGAGATTGTAATTTATTTCAAAACCTGAATAAATTCGTTTTTTCCTTAATTGAAATTCATTAAAATCTAGGTAATCTCGATTGATATTTTAAGGAATTTCATTAAAATTCATTAAATCTAGAATAACGATAGTTGATCAAGGTTGAAAACAGGATAGATACATGCTTGGACACGTGCCCTCAGGCAATTTTGACCATGTTTTTTACCCTATTTTTGTAGCATTTATTTATGTGTCTCCAATAATTCGTGGATTGATATGATTGTGGCTAATAAAGAAATTTAAAAAGATTTAGATAGGTATCAAGCTTAAAGCATCTAAAAACTTGCTTTGTAGTTTCACTGTTTTTGATTATCTTCATATGGATTCTATGGAAATTTCTTAAAATATATGAAATTCTTATGGATTCATTCTATGAAGATTTATTTGATTTTATAAAATTCACTAAAGTCCCGTTTGGTTCCACGAAATTTTTCATGGAACTTGGAATTCAAATTCCAACTTCTACTTTTGGCATGTTTGATTGACAAAATTTTTTAGGGAATTGATTTTCCATGAATTTCTAGGTACAACATCTTAAACTGTGATTTTCCACCTTTTATTTTCCTAGGGGTAGGTGGTTTTTGGTTTTCCACCCTTTTTTTTT